GATGTGGTGTGCTTCACACCGATAATTAGGACTTTACAGACATGGCTTCATAGACACCCTAGGACTCTTGAACTCTATGCTCTGATACCAAGTTTGTCACACCCCGAGCCTAGACCCTGGACGTAACTAGAACTTGAGAACCATTGCTGGTCCATAAGTGAACCCTTGGCTTGGCTCAATACTCAGCAGAAGACTTACTCAACAATACATGAAATCAAAAGTCTCAATATAAAAGACTCAGAATATTTTTTTAAAAAAACATTTAACTGGCCAAAAGAGGCAACTAAAGTCTTGAACATTAACAATTGAAAATGAAACAGACTTCTCAAAACACTATTGTTTACAAAGCCTCTAATAACTATAAGGGAAGTCGGGAAAAGACCCACAAACTCCTAACAACACAGAAAATATATGTGGAACCTTCCGAAGCAAGGAGGCTCACCAAACCAACTTTGGAACTGCAAGTGATATCAACGGAGCGCCTATTGATGACCCTAATTACATGTATCTGCATCACGAAAGATACAAGACAAATGATGTTAGTACATGGAATGTACGAGCATGCAACGGTATCTGTAAAGCACATACATAAGCTTGAACTTGATAAAAAGGAAGACGATACTCACCTTATCTTGACTCAACTCAACTCAAGGATACTCAAACTCAAAAATACTCAACTCAGTTCAATATAAAAGCAACAATATAGATGCATTATAAAGAAAGCTTTTAACACCGTAGACAATAACTCAATGTATTTAAAATACAATAATAACTCTTTTACTTTTATTTGGGAGATTCTCTAACCGACAACCATCACTATGAGCTATGTGATGATACAACGTCTCGCCCACGCTGCCAGAACTGTCCTATACTTTGCCGGAGTATAAGGCATCCTCAACTAAGTGGATCCACTAATCTATTCCTAAAAAGCAATAAGGAATCATCTAAAAAAGTATAAGCCTTTACCCATGTTGGCATACATGGTTTATGAGGACTTTGAGTTGTCTGAACTCGTCCCATATCAATGCTCAATACTATTTCCAATAATATAACTCATTCTCATATGTTTGAAAACATTTCCTCATCCTCAAATTTTGAGATTATTACTCAGAAGGTTCTCTTAAAAAGATAGAGCTCAAAAACTCCGCATGAACTCATTCGGAAATCAAATTAAAGTTTCCTCTCATTTTAAATGTAAAACACTTACTCTTGGGAATACTTAGTTCCCTTATATTCATCTTGAAAACATGAAATCAACTCTCTTCCACCTCTTACTCAAATTCCCAAGTCTTTAAACAAGTTTAAAGAGATTGTAAAAGACTTCTCAAAATGAATTGAAAGGCTCTGTCAAACTTGACTCTTAATCTTTTCTTGAATTTGAAATCTGAATTCAGAAGTTATGATTCTTGATATATAAGATCTCTTGATGATTAATGAAGGTTTAAATAGTTAGTATTAAGAAACAAATGAAAGCTCGACTTAATGGAACAAGTGCGGAACGAGAAGATAGAAGAAAAGAAGCCTGACGCTTGTGGCGCAGGGGTGGTGTGCCACGCCAGGCCTCCCCTTACTAGGGCTTGTTTCTAGTACACTGTTGGCACCCCACGCCAGCCCTGCTAGCGCATCAGTGGCGCGCCACCTTAGCCCTTTTTTTCCAGAAAATTCTGACAAATTTTTCTTCTCGATTTTTTCCCCAATTCACCTAGAGTCGATTGGTTCTATCAAACTCTCTTAGATTCGTATGCCCAATATAAGTAAACGAAAATCTACTCAAATATCCTCAAGAATAACCCTCAAACTCAAAACCCTTGCCTCAAGAACTCATCAAAACCCTATTTACAAAGAATGAAGAACGAAACCTCAAGAAATTTATCAAGAATCTCAATACATGGATTTTCATGGATGAAATTAAATAAAGAAAATCATGATTGGCGTGAGGGTGAACGAACCCATCACTATGAAAGCTTACATACCTTGAAAGGCTCAAATCCTTGGCCAAATTCCTCAAGATCGCGAGAAATCTTGAACGCTTCAAGTTTTTCTCCATTTCCTCCTCTTGAACTTTGCCCCAACCTTCCAAATGCTTTCATACTTTAGCGTACACTGATTTTAATCATTTTTGACCCTTAATTTGGGTGGGAAAACGTGTGGACTTAGTGGGGTTAGAAAAAGACCAAAATACCCCTCCTTAGTTCGGATGAATTTCCTTAACTGGACAGGCTGAATTCAAATGGGCATATCTCCCTCATTTGAACCGGAATTAAGCAAATTTTGTGGTGTTGGAAAGATGACTCAAAGATCTTTCATTTGATATCTTATAGGACACCTAAATCATCATGTACTGAAAGTTATGGTTGTTTGAAGTTGACCCAAAACTCACAATTGAAGACTAACTTGCACAAATCTGAAATTGGCTATTTCTAATTTAGTTCTTTCTAAGACCGAGGTATTACAGGGCCCCCAAAATGTGTGGATCAAAGCGATGGCTTTAGTGGCCTAGTGGTTAAGTCGGCTCTGCTTGTGGCAAAACTCACTCCTATAGTTAAAGTTGTTTCTATGGATTATTGAACAATTTTCATGTCATTTATCAAGTAAGTTGCATTTCCTTATTTTGATGTATCTTGGTTTATCTATTTGGTTCATAAGTGTCTGTCCATACTGGAGTTGAAAGGGTGGCCTAATCTACCATCAAACTGGAAATTCTTAAAACTTAACTCAGCCTTGGAAAAGTTGGACTACCCTGGAATTTGAAGCTTTCTATCAAGTTCATCAAATCTTGAGACATTGACCATTGAATGGCTCAATTGCAAACCAAGAGTAAGTTTCTTTTAGATCTTTATTTTTGTTACTTAATGTAATTAATATAAAAAACTATAGTGAAAGATGATATATGTCAATATATTTCTGATCTTAAGTGCTTCAGGAAAAAAAGTCATAGAACTTTTCTTTTTGTTTTTATTTTAAATTGAAACCACCTTGCTGGTATGTTTCATGGAGAATGATGAAAGGTTACTAGGAGGGGAGTTGACAGCCTTACCTCTTCAAAAAAAGGGAAAGAATTGAGAAGGTGCAATCTTTTGCAAAATTTCATAGACAATGTGTAAGCAAAAATGGTGTTTCTAGGTAGGAGGATGGCTTATCTTTTGCCAAATTTATCACCTTTTTAATCTGTCTGAAATCAACTCCTTCAACCTAAAGGAGAATAACTGGTTAATATATTGGATTTTTTCCTGCAGATACAGCTGTCAAAGTACACAAATGAGGATGAACGACGGAGGAGATTGGAGACACATTTTTTTAACTGCTCATTGCCACTTTTACAGACCATCAAATTCATTAACTTTTATGGAAAACCAAGGGAAAATAATTTTGTACTACCATTGTTGAAATGCTTGCAAAACAATGCAACAGTACTAAAAAGTGTCCTTTCTAGCAAAATCACAGGAAAGTGATGTGTCTCAGAATCATGTCGTCATGGGTTCCTAAGCTTTGCAAGATCCTCCCCACAAGCTTCAGTTTTCTTTCCATGTTGATAATCTAACTCCACTCTCTTTTGTAGTGATCGCAACATACATAGCAACCTTTTACTTTCGGTTTGAAATTGGTTTGTAGTTGATTGAAAGGTCTGGATTCTACTAATCAGTATCTAAGTAGTTGTTTGTAGTTCTTCATATCGAAAGCACAATGTATTTTTTATTTGATAATCATGTAAGAAAGCTTGTTCTAAGGTTGAATGTCATTTTGCAGAAATAGTATTTCTAGATCGGTAAAGGGACAAATATACCCCTGTACTATATGAAATAGTTTAAATATACCCCTAGTTATACTTTAGGGCTAAATATACCCCTCCCGTTATACTTTCGGGCTATATATACCCTTATGACTAATAGATGACACGTGGACGACTGAGATTAAGTGAACTATTCAATTTAAAATAAATAAAATTCGGATATAACCCACCCTGCCCCATTAACTTGACCTGACCTAATATGTAAAATTAACCCACCCAATTTGTCTTTCAAAAGAAAAAACCTAATGGGTGATTGAGTTCTTGCTCTCCAGCAACTTCTGCAACTTGGAGCCTCTTCATTGCAAATTTTTTTGCTCAAAGGTATGATTTCTTTTCTTCTTCAAACTTTATAGCCTTGAGTATGATTCAAACTTTATCAGTGTCCTAAATCTGAAATTTTTATCAATGTCCTCAACCTGAAGTAAGTTCAATTATTGAGTTTAAACCTTTGTTTTATTTTTCTTATAAATTGAAGTTGTTTTGATTACACGTCATAGAAAAATTCATGTGGCTACTCGGAGTGGCACGACAACTTGTTTTCAGATAGAGCGGTGGTCCTAATAAATAATTTAGAGACTCAATTGAATGCGGCTACGATTAAAGTTGATACTTGAACATGACGTTGGATGCAATTAAGATTGAAAGAGATAACTTGAAGGAAAAAGTGGATGCAATGAACGCTTCAACCAATTTTGAAGTAAACAAATCAAGGTTATTGGAAGATAAAGTGAAGAAGATGAAGACGTTAATTATGATTTTGTGTGCTCTTGTTATTGGGTATGTTGCCTTGCGGGTGATGAAGTGATGAAGTGATGAATGAGTGAACTTGTGTAATATTAGGTGAAGTCTCCTGATTTTTTTTTTGTAATGTACAGTTGATAATCAAGCTCAACTCATGAAAATTTTCTTGATTTTCTTGTAATATTTGTCGATAATCAAGCTCAACTCATGGTAATGTTCCCATGTTATGTTGGTTATGTAATTTCAAAATTATTATTATCATTGACAAGCTAGCTGTAACACCAAGTGTTCTTTGAAAATTTTATAAAAAATTTCAACTAGGAAACTCATAGAAACTCAAGAATATAGAAAAATCTATGTGATCTATGACATGGGCTATTTAAAACGAGAAGCACTAAAAAGATATTAAGAAAAAATTATCAATTATCATGAATTCGATAAAGCAAAAAAAGGACTTGTCATTGCCTTATCATGCCTTCTTCTTCTTGGACTCGATCATGACGTATCCAATACAGATGCTCAAGAAGCAGATTAGTGCCACTGCAGCATATACAGAAATGAGAATTGTGTATTCTTGAGGTAGAAAATACTTATGCACGAAATGATCATTGTCAACAAGAGGCAGAATGATGACCCAGAAGGTATAATATGTGAAAATGGACAAACTGGTCAATGTTAAAATCAGCATACTAAACTGCCAATGCAACACAAAATAACATGAAATCATCAAATATCGTTTGGATGTCATAATATAACCTCAAAAACTTATACAACCTAAGTTCTGATGCGACATTCCCAACTTTGCAAACGCTATTTTCCCAAAAGTACTGTTTAAACAGTAGTTACATCATCAAATTAAATTGTCCACAAACTTAACAAAAGTTAACCAAACTGATATTGTCCCTTTTTTGGCTTCAACTTTGCAATTCTTTCTTGACTTTGAACTTCCAGTTGATTGGTCGTAATTACATCTTTACCTTTCCAAGTTAAGCTTTTTGGTTGTATTGGAAGATTTGTTGGATCACTTATACCATTGTGATCACTTTTGAAGCTTATTACCCTTCTCCATGTTGGTATATATTGTTGTTGTCTCATTTGAAGCGTAGTAAGAGTCTCTGAAATAATTGTAGGATGTAGACAAGGATCTTCATCATATTCATAGTCAGAGAACATGTTACTTTGATTGTTTTGTGTTTCTTGAGGGGCTGTTGGGTTGATGCTCTCTTCAGTTTGAGAAGGTTCTCCCTCATCAAATAAACCTCTTTTACGCTGCTTTTTCTTTCCCTTTCCCGTAGCAAGCATTTTTTCATTTTTTGACTGTGACAAGCAAAAAGTTAGAAAATATAAATACTCCATACAACTGTTAATTAAACTATTTAATAAAATACCTTGTCACAGCCCCTAACGTTATGATTTGGCTCTCCATAATTGCTACATGTCATTACTCTACCTTTTCTTGACACAGCCCATTCACCTTGCCTCTTAAGTGCTTCATCTTTCTGTCTAACTCTTTTAGTTCTAGGCCTGCCAGCAAGCTTGACAAACTCTGGCGGCTCCATTGCTTGAAGAGGGTTAATTTTGCAAAAAAAATCTCCCCTCACAGGTTGCAACTTATGCTGTAAGTTAGTAGAAATGCCTCCTTGTTGTGATACCAATTCATTTCAGTTAAAGGATTGATTCTTTCATGCAACAAGGCCTTAATTGTATGAAGACATGGAATTCCTTCAAGATCCCATGCCCTACAAGTGCACCTTTTAACCCTTAAATTGACTATGTGTCTGTCATCCCCCTCAGTAACCTCATATCCATTATCTCCATTACAGTCAACCCTACAAATTTGAGCTATCTTCAGATAATCATTATACAACTTCAAGCTTTTTGGACTAAATTCACTAGTCTATTTCATCACAAAATCTTCTTGTTCCCCCAATCGATTCATTACTTTAATTCTTATATCTTCCAACATCCCAATGATGGGCTTGAACCTTGCTTCTAGTATCCAAGAATTAAATGACACGGTAATGTTGTTTTCAACTGGTGGATTCTTACACATGGTATCGAAATAGGCTCTGCACCAACTTTTGGGAGGATACTCTAGCAAATCCTCTCCGACAGGTAAATCCATTTGTTTCAACTTACTTAGATGATCTTGAAAGTCTTCTTCATAAGTGCACCATGCACTCCACCAAAGTTGCTTTTTCAACACACCTTACCATGTCTTTTGCACCAATTTGCCTCAATGTGTCTCACACAATATCTACTATGTGCTTGAGGGAACACCGTCTTTATTGCATCCAGTAATCCCTACATGTTAAAGGTAAACAATTGACTATTGAAAATGCAAAAACATAACTGGAAAAAAAATGAATAGAAATGAAATTAGATAATATACCTTTTGCATGTCTGACATAAAGGTTATGCCTTCTCCATTATGGAGTTCTAGTGAATGTTGAAATAGCTCCAAAAACCAATTCCAAGTCCTTTTGGTCTCCTTATCCACAATATCTCAAGCTAAAGGATAAAAGTGTTTAATATTGTCTTGACCAACAACAACTAGTATCTGTCCTTTGGCTTTACCTCTACGAAATGTGCCATCTAATCCAATAAATGGTCTCAAACCTTCCTTAAAACCCATCTTCATTGCCTTGAAGCAAATATACATTCTAAGAAATTTTCTTTTGCATTGAGCAAGTGCTTCCTTAGATAAATTAATCACAACATCACTTCCTGGATTAGATTCCTTCAGTTCAATGGCATAATCCTCAAGTTTGTTATAACCATCAGTAAAACTACCTTCTAAAGTTTCCAAAACCATTCGTTTAGCTCTTTTGCACTTTCCTTGGCTAGCTTTTAACTTAAAGCATTGTGCAAACCAGCCCTCATTTCCTTGATCCTAAATTTTGGATTTTCTTGTAACTTTTTCTTAAAATATTGAGCTATGATAGAGTAATCAACCACAGGATTATCAAATGTTGGCCAACATGTATGATTATCATTTAGAGTCTTAATCCTCACTCCAGGAGTATGAGAATCCCCATAAATATGACATACAAATGGGCATGCCCCTTCACTACATGTAAACCTCAATTTGGACCTGTCAGTTTTAACTACGGTTAACTTTATCATCTTGCCAATGCATAAAGTCTGATGCATTGCTTCTGGTATATCCTTGAAGGACATACCCTTATATAACTCTAAATAATTATGCAAGTCCTCAGATATTTCTCTTCTTTTTTTCAGTAGCAAATTCTTCAGAATCATATTCTGAAGAATCATTCGTAGCTTCACTTTCAGTCTCACTACAATAAGTAACAATTTCAGTAACTAATGAGAAAAGTGATTCACCATATTGAACAATATTAGGAACATATACAAATAGTTCACACTCTTCTACATCAAACACATTTATTATAAAGAAATTGGACACAAGAGATAGTAGTTTCCTAATTCCAATATCTCCTTCTATTTCATAATATCTTCCACAAGGACCCTTTACAATTAACTGTTGCACACCTACAAATCCAAATCGAGTAGTGTACACATTGACGATATCAATAAAAGAAAGAAGGTCTGAATCATACCCTCTCCATAGGTTGTACGACTTCTTCTTGTACAAGACAATAGGCTCTCTAATCCATTCACCTCCATAGTTGAAATATATGTCAACATTAACCATTTTAGTGCCTGAAATATTTGGTAAAACAAAATAAGCAACATAATTTTCAAAAGAAAGAGAACAGTCGTAAAGTTAGAGGAACCGATAGGAATTAATAATGGTACAACTTTTGTCCCATAATTAACTTGTTTACATTAATTCAATCACAAACTCACTATCCAAACTTTTGCAACTTAAACTTAACAATAGACACTATTTCTATTCACTCTAAAAAGAACCACTGTTATTTCATAAATACTTGTATTAAGTTAACATATTTAGCCTCAATTTAGACACAAAAGTAGGAAGCATTTTAGTTTGGTTCAAACATCAACATGAACAATAGTTTCTGGTATAATATTGATATACCATCTGGAAAGGTCAATTTTTTATGTAAAATTAAACCATAAAAGTTCATGGCTATGTATAAAGCATTTCAACAGAGCAGACTCTAGTGTAAATACTTAATATTTAATCATCCCCACAACAGATTAAAGAACCTGACTAAAAAACAAAAAAAAATACTTTAAAATTATAGAATTAAAAATTAAAAAGGGACCCATTTCGTGATTGTAAAAGAATAGAAAACGTGAAAGATACCATATTTTATGATTGATGAAGAATAAAAAAAAATACAAAAGGGACCACATTTCATGATTGTAGAAGAATATAATATATGAAAGTGACTAACTGTTGAAGAATAAAGAAGATTAAAATTTAACATATTTTCATACACAAATAAAAATAATTTCTAAATTATTCGGGATCACAAATCAAGAGTACTCGTGCAAATAAATTTGACACCAAATCAAGACAGTAACCAACATAATATATATAAACAGATTATGTCGAATTGGAATCAATACCCAAAAACCTAGGCTATATGAAGCTTGAAGAAAGAAAAGAAACCATATCCAAAACCTTAGGCTATGAAATTTAAAGCAAGAAAAGAAATCATACCCAAAATCCTAGACTATGGAACTCCAAACAATGAAAGAAATTATACAAAAAAACAACCCTAGACTATAAAGTTTCAATCATACTCGAAATCTTAGGCTATAAAGTTTGAAGAAGAAAAGAAATCATACCTTTGAGCAAAAATTTTTGCGATGAAGAGGCTCCAAGTTGCAGACGTTGCTGGAGAGCAAGAACTCAATCGCCCATTAGGTTTTTTTGTTTGAAAGAAAAATTGGGTGGGTTAATTTTACATATTAGGTCGGGTCAAGTTATTGGGGCGGGGCAGGTTATATCCGAATTTGCTTTATTTTAAATTGAATAGTTTACTAAATCTCAGTCGTCCACGTGTCATCTGTTAGTCATAAGGGTATATTTAGCCCGAAAGTATGACGTGAGAGGTATATTTGGCCCAAAAGTATAACTAGGGGTATATTTAAACTATTTCATATAGTACAGGTGTATATTTGGCCCTTTGCCGTTTCTAGATTCATTACGCCTCAATGGGCTTGTTTCTTTCAGCATGTGTTGTTTTTTTATTGGTGGAAAATTGAGGACCTGCTACTTGAAGAGATCCTGCATTGGTAAGATCTTATAGAATTAGGACATGGGCTAGCTGTTGATTACTATATTGTGTTGGATATGATGATGAGAAATACATTACGAAAAAGCTCCGGTTTGCATGAGAACTTATATGAAGATTAGGCAAAAATTACCATCAATTGTGATACTGATGTGAGATGGTTTACTTGACAAAGTGTGCATGTGTCTATGTTAATTGCTCTGGTAAAAATGGAACTCCTTAAATGTCCTCATCAGCTGTTCCGTCAACAGATCATTCTTATCCTTTATTTCAGCTTGCAAATGTGCAATGTCCTTGTAACGGTTTATCTGCTCTCTGCTATCGTTGCCCGTACCTCATGGTAAGCCCCATGAACAGAGTGATGAACCTAACAATTATACCACTGTTCCAATTATTCAGAAGCTACTTTTACTTGAACTTGAAAGCTCTGGAACAAGCATCAGGTATTGCCTTTTTGGATCTGTCGGACTTATTTATTGCATGTCACCTGATAGAAGATTGTTTGTTCTTCATTAACTATCTAATCTCGTTTCCTGACAGGCACCAGCTAATTAGAGTAAATGCCAATGGAATGAATGAATGAATGAATGATGATAGTGGGTGGAGATGTTTGAAGATGTTCGCGTTGTAGTATTTTGTGTGGTCCTGATGCATGTCAAAGAACACTGAAAAAAATGGCCAGATATCTCTGTTTCAAAGAGACCCCATTTATTTTAATCTCAAACAAGTATGATCTGTTCGAGGAGAATATCGTTTATGTACCATTGGGCTCTTGCTCAACGATTTCAGTCCAGTGCAGACTCACCATAGTAACCAGTCACTAGCAAAACCAAGCATATTATTTTGTGACGGTGAAGTTTAAAGACCTCTATGCTTCTCTCACCGGTAGAAAGCTATATTTGTTTGGCAAGCTTGGGGAAGAGACTGTACAATTGATGTTTAGCTCTTCTCTGTTTGTTCGTCGGAGTAAAATTAGTTTAGAAACTTTAATATCATTGTTGGAGAAGTTGACCGTTGAAAATAATTGTTTGTACCAGATTCTACGAGAATTTCATTGAAAACCTTTCATTTTTTTCTCTCAAATGGAAGTTTGACTTTCTTGTTATGTATCCTAGTTTCTTGCTTAATTCTTTAGATGAAACTTGAATGGAAGGGAACCAAATTGTTCAACTCAATTATCCTTTGAGACAACATGAATGCATGACCTTCAAAATCAAGTGTCATATAGAGTGTACAACAATCTATAATAAACTGAAGAGTTTGTGATTACATGGTCACAATTGATTGTACTTGTCAGTGTCCAAGGAGTTGTTAATAGATTTTCATGTCCAACTAATATTGTATTTGAGAGTTGTTTCTTGAATCTGAAAGAGAGTACTTGGGTTCTCCCATTAAATAAAATGTGTAGCGAAACTGAATATAACTGGGGTTTGCGTTAGTGAGTGGTGGAGGAATTGGATCAGAAAAAAAAGAGGAATTTTAGGTGTAAGATATCTAATGAAATTGGTGTGATTTCTCATTTGATTTCTAAAACGTGAGGTGAGCTACTGTTACTACAAGAATATTTATTCACTAGTTCTGGAAACGTGCATTGCATGTTCCTCCCTAATCGACATTATAAAAGTTAATTTAAGTAAATATATCATAATAATGGAGCATACGTAAATTCATTGTTGGGTTCAAAGTTAAGTCCTTTTGTAGGTAAGTTTCACATAAGAATACTTCTTATGTATTGAAAAATAATTCTACAAAATAATATTTTTTTTAAAAAAAAAGAAAAGAGAGCATGACTATATTAAAAATACAGATACACTATATTTCTTGGACTAAATAAAAGGATGTGTATATAAAAAATTAAATATCAATTTTAATACCATAAAATTCAATGTAACATTTTAGTCATCTATTTACTTTTTAAAAAAAAAAAAAAAAATTATTTTTTTTACTTTTGTACCTCTATGTAATAGTTAAATAATGTACATGACTTTTTAAACCGTTTTAGATTACATATAACAGGATACAGTACAAACATGTTGTTTTAAAAATATAAATGATTATCAAAAAATGATGAAGACATAACTATATATATTTATCAAAGACTTATTTTTTTATGGGTCTAGTTGTGAAAACATTATGTGAAATTCAACATGCATACCCTCAAAATAGTTAATTATAAATATAAAATAGGATTAACTTTATTATATTTATATCCTAAAGGTAAAAGAAATGAAAAATACTAAAATATAATAACCAATATGAAGTTATATTTGAAAACTCAAAAAGATGGAGATATGAAAAAGAAAAATTCACTTACAAATTCGTATTGGAGAATTTTCATCTTGTAACTATGATAATTTACATATTTCTCAATAAAAAGAAGATGAATATGTATGAAATTTTAAATAATACAAATAATGAATCTATTAGAATTCTTACAATTACAAATTGGTAATGAAAATTTTACAAATGATGTAGACTAACCTAACATAGAAAGCAAGATGATCACATATGTGGATGAAATAAGAGAATATAAATAATGATGTTGGTGAGTGTCTTTGATAGACTCTTCATTATCCCCACTTATCTTTGAAATTAAAATTAAAGGCTATTTTTAGACTCTTCATTATCCAAATTTAGTACATGAATATAATGATTGCATTAAGATCTTGTTTGATGCATGAATTTAAATATAATTTTTACTTAATATGTAATGATCTGGTCGGTTATTTTTGGAAAGTTTCATGAATTTACAATGTTGCCCTCCTGTGATTGACCCCGAGTCTTCTATGTTTGAGTTTTGAAAAATTGGTGTTGAACTTTGAGTTAAAAAAGAGAATTCGATAAGTTTTGAGTTTGAAAGGCTAGGTTGCTAAGAAAGTGGTTTTTTGTGGTTTTTGAAATTTCAAGTATCAAAATGGAATTCCGCTGATTCCACCAGTCTCGAAATGTGAAATATTATCCGTGAGAGTTGTCGGTTTCTGATTCCAGGTCTCTTTGAGGATTTGAGGTCCTAAGTTGTGAAATTGTGGAATTTTAGCCTTTGGGTTGACTTTGGTCAACATTCGGAATGGAATTTTGAGAGTTCCATTGAATTTCGCAGATAACTTTAGGCCTAGGTGAGGTCTTGGTTATTTTTGAGAGATCCTGAGATTGTTTTAGCCTTTTAGGTGTTGAGTTAGTTTCTTGTAATTTTTACGAATGTCGGGTCAAGGAGACCTTGAATTCATATTTTAAAGGTTCCATTGAGTCCGAAACATCGAGTATTATAGATTTGCATATGTGGTTTGTATGTACGGGATTTCAAACGAACCACGAGGATCTTTTTGATGTTCTAAGAGTTGGTTGAGTTATTGGTGTCTGCAGGCTTTGCTTTTGCAAAGGCGAGTCGCTTAAGTGACCTTCGCAGAAGTGAGAGCCTCTTCGCTTAAGCGAGCTTTGCATAAGCGAAGAGAGCATTGCTTTTGCGAGTGCCACATTTTTAACAGTGTTCACTTAAGCGAAGCATTGGTCGCTTTTGCGACATTTGAGAGGGTTTTTGACGTGCAAATTTTTAGGTTTAATCCCCATTTCACCATTGTATAAATTTCACATTTTCATTCCATTAATTCAAAAATTGTAAAGTTAATATAATTGCGTTATTAAAATAAAATAAATAATAAGCTTATAAATAGTACCGAAGTAACTATAGATTCCAAACACATCCTACAAAATAATGTGTCTTTCATGTTTGATGCATCATCACTCTCATCACCTTATGTAGGTCACTTTCTAATTTCTTTATCTAAATTTATTTGAATACGTAGAGTTATAACATATAATGGAATAACAAGTAAAAATTTTGTGATAGTTGAAGTAGAATGAAGAGGTGGTGATGGAAAATCGCAAAATAAAAGGAAGAAATATAAAAGTGGAAAGAAATAAAAAGAAAAAGGATAGAGAAAGAAAAATCTAGAAGTAGTAATTAAATAATAAACATAAAAAGGTAAGAAAATATAGAATATTAAGTTACATTACTTTTGTAACACACAATGATTTATGAACATGAATTGATGTATGAATTGTAGTAAACTAACGACAAGCATTAAAAAATACTAGTTATATACGAAAAGCAAACCCAAATATGAGCCAGGGATTCTCCACATCCTAAATCTCGTCGATGATTGCAACGTCGGCCACTGGCCAGTCTACTCCTTCCACTGGCCCGGGATCTCTCACTATTACTGATAATTCTTTTCCCCCTCTAAGTAACTCTAAAGACAACTTCATCAAACCCTTTGTTGAATCCTATTTTGCTTAATGTGATGCCTATTGAGAATAGAGGCGAAGATGCAAATATTGTTTTAGATAAATTGTAACACCTCGGTTTTGGCAGTGTGGCGAGACGTTGTATCATCACATAGCTCATAGTGATGGTAATAGACTAGTGTCATCACGTCCATTTTCAGATGGTGACACACTTACATTCCAATTGCGGGGTGTAGTTGAACGTTATCAAGGTGATATTATTCACGGATTCTAGTGATGGCAGTGACAACAACTTAGTGATGGAAAGTGGTTGAGAGATTCGTTGTATGTTGGTATGAAAAAAATAATAATTAAATATTCATATATTTA